GTAAGAATAGGCAGTTCCTTTGTTTTGCAGCCGTGTGTGAAAGAATGGGGTCTGTCTTTTCGTTGCCTTAACTCATTGTGCATGGTTGCAAAAATTAGATGAGACTGTCCAGACAACACACTTAGCAAGGAGACTGGCCTAAAGGACATGTGTCATAAATGTATTTCCTTTCCCTGCAAGAACCGTAAGAATGTGTTCTGCCTGCTTTGCAGAGGAAATTCAAAACTAGACTATGTTGAAATACATATAAAAACGTGTGCCTGAGTGTCTGAATGTTACAAAATTTCTGAAATAGTATGATATGTCTATAAATAGCAATTCAGATTTTTCTCATAGATTTTATAGAAATAGATTTCATTACTGTAGAATCTTATAATCATACCAGGCCACTGAGGCCCAACCACTAAGCTTATCTCAAAGCAAATGACACAGAAAGGAACAATTTTGTTTTGTTTATTTCTTTTAATTGAGATATAATTGACATGTAACTTATAATAGCTTTAAGTATATAACATAATGAATGATATTTGTGTATATTATATGTATAGAAAATGATCACCACAATAAGTCTAGTTAACATACATCATTAATCATAATTAAAATTTTTTTCTTGTGATGAGAACTTTTAAGATTTCTCTTAGCAACTTTAAAATATATAATACAGAATTATTAACTAGTCACCATGCTGTGCATTACAAAGTGGCCAGTGTGGCTCAGTTGGTTGGCCATCGTCCTGTGTACCAAAAGGTTGCTGGTTCAATTCCTGGTCCAGGCACATGCCTGGGTTGAAGGCTCAATTCCTGGTAGGAGGTATACAGGAGGCAGTTGATTGATATTATGCTCTCACATTGATATTTCTCTTTCTCTCCCTCTCTCCCTTCTCTTCTCTCTAAAAAAAAATAAATTAAAGTTTTTATAAGTTTAAAAAAAAACAAAGGGGAACAGTTTTAACTCCCATCCATCCAATAGGGTAATTAAGAAAATTCCTCATTCTAGAGGCTTGTATTAAACCAGCCTCAAAAATGAAACCTTGTTTTCAACACTTTCAGTGCTGAAAGGCAAGTCTAGTTTCTTATCCAGTAAATAAATCACGTTTGACAGGAGTGAAAATGTTGGTGGGAGGTGCACATTCTTCATTTCAAAACCGGGGACCCGGTGAGTGGGGGTACAGTTTCAAAAGTACCAGGTTTTACAGAGGAGCTCTCATCACGCTCCTGAAAAAATGTGATGCTGTTGTGACTTTGTTTGTGGGTTTTTCTGTTTTCAAAATTGAAACAATGTATTTCGCTCTAATCAGAACCATCAAAGCTCTTTAAAATGCCCATATAACTCACAATTTCTGGGGTTTTTTTTAATGATGTCAAATGCTGTCTTTTTCTGTACTGCTAAGTTCTGTGTTTCAGAAGTACAAAAAGTATTTGTACAGCATCCAGCAAATATTGACAGAACACCTACCATGAGCCAAATCCTATTTCTGGTTGCAAGGGATATTACAATAAACAAAACAAACAAGTTCCCTGCTCTCAAGGAGGGGTGGGGAGAAAGGAATGTTTGGTTGAAGCCTACTATAAATGAATAAAATGTACCATTAAATAGCGAAGATATAACTACTCCTATGCAATTAAAGAGAATTCGAGATACATGAAAATGAGTGGTTGACTTTAGATTGGATGGTCAAGAAAAACCTCTCTGAAGAAGTGATATTCAAGTTGAGATAAGTTATGAAGGGCCCAACAGTATTCTAGAGGAAGAGAATTCCAGGCTGGGGACCAGAAAGTCCTGAAAGTGGGGACCAGCATGATATTTTGCATAAGGAGAAGGCCAGTGTAGCTAAAAAATAGACAGCAAGGGGGAAAAGAGGGAAATTGTAGGGAAAATGGAATCACATGAGGCATGGAAGCCAAAAAAAAGAAGTTTAGGTTTGTTCTAAGCGCTATACGGAGCTAATGGATGAGAGGGCTGGGAGGATCTCAAGCAGGAGAATAGCATGATCTGATTTTCTTTTCCTTTTTTTTAAAATTCTCACCCAAGGATATTTTTCCATTTATCTTCAGATAGAGTGGTAGAGTGGGAGGGGGAGAGAGAGAGAGAAACATTGGATGTGAGAGAGATACATCAATTGGTTGCCTCCTACACGACACAACCAGGGCTGGGGACAGAACCGCAACTGATATATGTGCCCTTGAGCAGAATCGAACCCATGACTCTTTGGTTCAAGGGCCGACGCTCTAACCGCTGAGCCAAACTGACCAGGGCTGATTTGCTTTTTCAAAGTTTACCACATCTTCTGGTGGAGAGTGGAACAAGAGTAGGTGCACTTTTTATGCAATAAACATTTTATATTTTACCTCATTCCTGATTACTTCCTTACCTAAATTCTTAGATTCCTAGCAAAGTAAAAGAATCTGATATTTTAAAAGCTCTGGATGTACAACAAGCTACATATTGCCAGTGTAGCTAATAGTTCCCTTCAGGTCTTGCAATGGTGCTTGAAAATTGAATAATTTGATTTATTTCATGTGGTGATTGCAGCACTCTTTCTTACAATGTTTTGAATGGCAAAGTAAAAAAAATGTGTCATCACATAACAGCAAAAAATGTCTTTTAGTTAGTAATTATTTTAAAGGACATTCTTCTGGCTCATAGAGAGGAAAGAATCCCTTATAAACATATGTGGTAAACACTCAATAAATGCTAAATGATGATGCTCATCTCACATTATAAAAATGGTAACTGAGGTTTTTTTTAGTTATTTTCTTTGTGTCCAATACTGCAGAAACTGCTTTCTGCATCTGTCTGGGTGTGGAACTGGGAAAGCTGTGCAGAGAGAAGTAAATTGAATAAGATGTGTGACACATGCCTAATAGTGACCCTCACCATTTCTATTTACCCTGTGCATCTTTCTCCTGTTTTATTTTCACCATATCAAAGGGGGAAAAAAGTTTTGGCAGAAGAAGACATTGGGGAAAAAATATCATCTAATGCAATTAATCATCATGAGGGCAAGAGCTATACCTGTATTTTTCCCAACATTTTATCTCCAACACTAAGCATTGTGCCTTGTACATAGTAGTCCTCATTGAATATGTACTAAAAAACGATTTGGGGAGAGGTGCCAAAGTATTTTTCAGCCTGGTCCTGCTATCCAGTCTAGATCTAGGGTTTCTTTTTCATGGAGGCAGCTATGTTCATGGAATGTCTCCTTCATATCTGTCTCTGTTACCTGCCAGTCATACCTTATGAGAAATGGACTGGAAAAGTCAAGCCCTTGCGTTCATTTACCGTCATTGAACTTTATTACTAGAGATCATTTGAGATCTCATGACTTTCCAGAGACAAAACGTTCTCAAATCACCTGTGGCTGACCCAAACTTTATTTATGTCTGAATATGCACAAGTTGAGCCAAAGTTCAGAACGCAGCACCCTTCAGGCCTACACACATGTTATGAGCACTCCCTGCAGAAGGCCATGTACCAGAGCCTGGGCCTTGTGTTTTGGGGACACTCATGTTTGTAGACATTTGGCAACTAGAAGACATTCAAATATTGTCTCATTTCATGTTGAATACCGAATATAGATAAATACTTAGAACCATACTTTCCAATAAGATAACCACTAGCCACAAATCCGTATTTAAATTCAAATTAATTAAAACAAAAAAGAACTAAAAATTCAGTTCCACCTTTGTACTAGCCACATTTCAGGAACTCAGTAGCTACATGTGGCTAGTGGCTACCGTGTTGAACAGTGCAAACATAGAGCATTTTCATTGTCACAGGAAGTTTTACCGACTAGTACTGCTCTAGAATATATCGCTTATGTTACAGAAATTCTAAATTGGATACCCAATTCTGCAAGTATCTACTAATCATTCAATCTTAGCTTTCAAATCTTTGTGTATCTAAATGTCTGTAGTTATTCCTATTTAAATCTTTTTGAACATCAAATGTAGATAATAGTTCCTAAACAAGTCTCTATGAAATATAATAAAACAAAGCAAAGTATCTGTTATCCCAAATACAGAGTTAAATTTCTGAAACTCAGTTTGAGTGGGAATAAGTCCTACCTGATTTTTAAAAAGTCTAAATTATAGATCGTTCACAGTTTCTTCAACTAAATTACACAAAAAACTCAAACAAAAATCTACAAGTGTTGCCAAATTAAAGCCCTATCAGACCTGACTTGATAAATAACTAAGAGTAATTTCTAGCTCAAATACTGTTGTATACAAATCGATGGAAAATGTGTTGCTGGAAGAGTTAACTTTTCTAAAATAAACCTAACTTTTCTCCCTGAGGTATAATTTCCTCATAAATTTGTTTCCTCTAAAGCAAATGCCCAAATCCTTTCTAAATTATCTCAAATCTGTACTAATGGGAATTATTTTAGTGAGAACTTAGCACATAATATAACCATGAAAGGCAATAAAGATATATAGTAAATTGTTTATTTGGACAGAAACTATATATAGTATATGTGTAAAAATGAATAAGTGCACATTAGCATATATTGAAACACACACACAGAAAAATTATCTCCTAATCAGCATTCAAAGATCCCTAATCTCTAGTAAATGTGCTTTTAAATTTTGGCAAATAGTAGCATTTTTTACTGAAGTGTATATTTATACATTCCTATTATGTAATTTCTCCTATGATCCAAAAACAATACGTTTTGATAATTCAGCTTCTTCTTGTCTTTCCAATTGAGTAAAAGCAGCAATTCTCAACCTCTTTATCTCATGACACACATAAACTGATTAATAAAATTCTGAAACACACCAAAAAAATATATTTTTTACCGACCTGATTTTAATAAAGGCATAATTTTGATTCATTCACACCATTGTGTTGGATGTTGTCATTTTTTTATTTGACGATGTAAGAGGAAAGAGGTCAGTGCCCCTGTTTAAATAGTCAGATATTGCATGTTTTAAAATTTTTTGCGAGCACACTGGTTGAAAACCGCTGAGTAAAAGTATCCTTTTCTTCTTCTTCAGACACTCATCTGGTGGAGAGATAGAAACCAGTTCCAGGAGTGCCACAGGAAGGCACAACGGAGGACACTGGTCCCGATTCCACAGGCAGCCAAGTCTAAATGTAAGTGTGAGAAGCAAGGGAGGGCGCGCCGGGCCTGGCCTCCGGTGCGCACCGGGGAAGTGCCCGCAGCAGTCACGGGGAGTCAGAGGCGTTTGGCAGACACTTGAGTGTCCAGCCAGCCTGCCTGTCTTATCTCCTAGCCCCATCTCCGCCGCTGCAAAAGCCTTTAGACCATCGCTACCAATGCCAGGTTTTTAAATCCCCGACAGTAAAATACATGTGCAGAGTGTGATCCTAGCCGGTTTTTTAAGTCCAGGCATGTTGAATAAAGTCTTAAAATAATCATTTCCATAGGCCCTGACTAGGTTATCCAAGTGTTCACCAGATGCTAGCAGCTAGATTTTGCAGAGGAAAATTGCTAACTTAAGCTGCTTTTCATGATTCAGCAGTGGGTTTTAAGTAATAAAAGATCTGGAGATTTGTAAAATAAATAATGCCAGTGCAAATGGGAAAATTAAAATAATCTTATCATCTTCCAGTCATATCTATATGTGATTTTGTACCATTATCAAATTTCTCTTAATTGGGCCAATTTTTTTTTTCTGGCTGATATTTTATAGTTTTAAGTTATGATTTGCAATGAAGAAATGATTCCTTTCAGATGACTGAAGTGGCATGGGCTAAGTTTTCCTAAAGACAATCTAGGAAATGTGAAACAGAGCATGATAAAACAAATATATTTTTGTTCACAGATGATACAGAATATTCACAGTGAAAAATAATAACAGTATACTACAATCTCTTTTATCCCTGAATTGATCTCTCGGTAGAAGCAATTAACATATGAAGTACATCATTAACTTTTTAACTTTGATGGAAAAAAAAAATACCATCCATTTCTGACAAGTAGACATTATCTCATAGTATCCACAGCCATCTTACGCTTATTACTACTGCCTGGTTTTAAGTGTGACTTTTGGACACACAACTCAATATTTCCTAATATTTAATAGTACATGACTCTTTATAGTCTGTTTAATTTTATTCAGTAATTCAAAGAATGAATAGTTAAGATTCTTTAGATGTTTGTCTTCTCGCTGGAGGTGCCCTTGAACAGAAAAAGAGAAGCATAGCAAGAAGCCCTGCAGTGAATACCACGTGACCACATCCAGTCTAGAATGAACCAATTCTGAGTTCCTGGAGAAATTCAAATATGTTAATAACTCTCCTAAGGTATCAAATTTTTACTACAGGTACCACTAATTATTTTGGCTAGACTTCATCGAGGTCAGATGTTAATCAAATGAAATATTTATAACGTCAAACCATTGAATAAAAAATATATGCCCCTTTAAGCAACGGGTTACAGGAGAAGCTGATGAAGGAGGCACGACTCCGGTTACAGTCATAATGTCAGGGTAAGGCTCTGAACCCAGTTCAGGAAACTTTATAATTGTTGCAACCAATGGCAAGCTCAGCTTCTGGATTTTTTGTAACAAAATCTTGCTGCCAAGGGCATTGATGGGCTCACCCAGTAAAAAGTTACAATAATAATGTTAAACTAAATCATAAAAATGCAGAAGGTGGTTATTATAGGGCAGAGGAGAGAAATTTCTTATAAAGTTATGGTGAAAATATCAAAAATACCTTTATTAGACTTTTAAAAAATTAAATCTTGTTTTTAAACTGGGGTGCAAAAACAATAAAATGTAAAGGTTACTCAATAAATTATGTCATTCAATGGTCAACAGCAATGAAAATAAAAATAACGTTGATTCAACATGGTCATCAGTTCAGGCAGGTCCAAAGCTTATACATGATAGTTTTCCAATAAAAGTAACAATCTGAAAGTAATTTTAAAGAAAGAATTTTGATTGAAAAAAGAATGAACTTTTGAAATGTATAGTCTCCTTAGTGATAATAAACTTGGCTTATGCTTAATTTCACATAGTATAAAACCCTAAATATTTTATGTGATTTTTTAAGTTCTGTGAAGAAATTCATTTAAAATAAATGTAGAAATGGCCACAAAAAATAAATATGAAAACCACGATAGGGTTACAATTAGGGAAGATAGAAATAGATCACGATTACTCATCCTCTGTGTGCCCTCCAAAAAATAAAGGATGTGACTTTTAAAATTATATTTGAATAATCTAGAATTTCCTTTCTGATGATCTTTTTATTTTCTGAAACTATGGATTCCTGAACCACATAACATACACATTTTGGTTGACATAGTCTATATTTTGCTCAAGTTAAATAACAGTGACATTTATCATAGTAGCAAACTCCTTTTGCTTATGAGAATATCTAATGTACCTTATACACAGGAAGCAGAAGCAAACATCGATTGAACTGAATTATTTGCACTGTCTGTTCAGAGATTAATGTGTCTCTTGGATTCACACTGGAGAGGTGGTGTCTCACACATGGGAATTAATGAGCTACATCTGTAACCAAAAATAATCCATGGAAAACCTGCTGAATTGATCCATATCTGTTTTATTAATCAAACCCACTACGGAAGGGCTTTCTTGTGGTTGTACCATATTTTGGAGATAAATAGAGTGGGGAAACCACAGTTCAATTTAGAAGTTGTTTGAAACTTTGAAGAACGTGGGGTTTTATATTATATGACAGTAATAAAGTCCAATCCTTGATAGTTGTAATTCTGATATATTAGGTATATAAATATCCCGTATGTATAATTTTACTGCAAAACATTATGACGGTGGCCAAGAAGACCCTTACTATTCAATAAGGAATGTGCTTCTTACTGCTACTCTCTTCCTTCTTCATTTTTTAAAAATGAAAAAGAGTTAGGGTTTGGGAAGATTTTTTTTTAGCCAGCTTGGTATGAATAGCCTTTAGTTGAAGCAGATGGCTGGAAGTCAGAAGCCCCAGATTCTATCCTTCATTCTCCTACCAACTTGGAATGTGGCCTTGGGCAAGTCATGAGAGTAAATCTACAATAAAAGGGGTAATAATGCCTTACATGTGTACGGTGCTTTATGATCTAACAGAACACTTTCACATATAATATCTTATTTAATCTTTTCCACAGCCTCCTATGAGGGCTATGGCAGTTATTAACGAGCTCCGTTATATAGAGAGTAGGAATTTGAGACCTAGAGAAACTAAATCAGTTGTTCATGGCCATATCAATATCACATGTCAGAGCCAGGAGCAGACATATATTATGATCCCAAGTTAGTCTTGGTCTTTTTTCCTCTACACCACACTGCTCCCCTCTGGTGCCTTCCTACTGGGAATGACTAGAGCCGAGCTGTCCAGTATGGTAGCCATGAGTCACCTGTGGTGACTTGAGCCCTTGAAATGTGGCTGGTTGAAACCGAGATGTGCTGTGAGTGTAAAAATTCATTCAAGATTTCTAAGACTTTAATAAAAAAGATGTAAAATATCTCATTAATACTTTTTATATTGTTTGCACATAATATTGTTTGCCCATATGAAGGAGCAGTTACTCTTCATTTTCTAAAGGGTTTTTGTATGTTACAGTAGAATTCTTTATAGCCTCATTTCCCAGTATGTTAAAACTTACCTATCGTTTATATTATGTTAGCCCTGGCCAGTGTTAGAACATCAGCCTACACACAAAGGGTCAAAGGTTCAGTTCCCAGTCAAGGACACATACCTGGGTTGCAGGTTTGATCCCCACTCTAGTTGGGGTGCTTGTGGAAAGCAACCAATCAATCAATCGATATGTCTCTCTCACATTGATGTTTCTTTCTCACGCGCACTCCCTTCCCCCCCATACCCCCTTCCTCCCTTCCACTGTTTCTAAAAATCAATAGAAAAAATATCCTCTGGCAAGGGTTAACAAAAAAATTAAAAATTTAAAAATGATATTACTTTAGACATCTTGAGTTAAATAAAATATATTATTAAAATTAATCTCACCTATTTGTTTTAACATTTTTAATGTGGCTACTAGACAATATGAAGTCACACCTATGGCTCACACTGTTTCTATTGGACAGTGCTGGACTGGTGGATTCCATTGTTCAGAGCCCACGGGATGGATTTCACAGTGTAGGACTTGCTTATGCACCTGCCTGGATGTGGCTGAGACAAGTTTCCAAAGACTGTCAAATACAGAGCAGTGTACATTAGCACAGTGATTCGGTCATTCTCACACTTCTTCCACGTGCCGGGGAAATGTCAGACTTCATTAGCCAATGCCTCAGATTGCTCATTTATTGAAAGTATTCCTGTTATACTTGCTGAATGCTTGAAAGGCTTAGAGAAAAAGAACCATGGAAAGAGCTATAAATTATATTTATGGCTCTGTGGCACACTTTACTTTAAAATATGTTCCCCTTAGTGCTCACTTCGGCAGCACATAGACTAAAGTCGAAGCGATACAAAGATTAGCGCAGCCCCTGCACAAGGATGACATGCTAATTGGTGAAGCATTCCATATTTTCAAAAAATATATATTCCCATTAAACATTAAGAATAACTGATACATTAGACTATTAAGTGATATAGGCAATGTAAAATAATAATATATAAATTGATTGTAAAATATGGTGTATTTTATTTCCCCTACCAACTCTTTAAGATACTTTATATATACTTCCTAAAGAAGTAGTTTACCCCTAGTTTGAAAAATCGAAGTGAAAATCCTCAGGAAAAATAGGTTATTTTTTAAGGAGAAAATATGGTAACAAATAGTCCAAATCCTGAAGGCTAACATCTATTGAGCATTTACTATTTGGACTCAAGAACTATGCTAAGAGTAGACCAGGTTATCTCATTTAAGGAATTAGCAAAAGGGAGCAGAATGGAATCTTTTAACCATTATTGCCTCTTACGTCAATGTTATTTGAAATCACAATGCAACCTATCACAACAGTAATAGAATATTTGGAATTGTTCCATTTTATTCATTTCAATTCCACAGTGTTCACCTAGCAAATACAATAGACCAGGAACAGCTCTAGACTCTGAAGGAATATTTGACAATAAGACCAGCACTCTGCCCTGTAAGAGTACGTAAGTCAGTAGACTTGTGAACATGGTTTTGAACAATATATACTTTTATAAACAAGCCTATATGAAGGAGCAGTCACTCTTCACTTTCTAAAGGGTTTCTTTATGTTACAATAGAATTCTTTATAGCCTCATTTCCCAGTATGTTAAAATTCACCTATTGTTTCTAAACAAAGGTCTCATTAAACATATATATGTTTAAGGTCTCATATATGTAGTATGAATTTCAGAGATTTGCTTCCTCTATATATTATACCCATTTGGAGAAAAGTGGGATGAAATTACTTTAAATCTTTTTTACATTAAGGAAGGATGAAAACAAACAAATAAAAGGGGGACCTAAATCCAAATGACACTGAAAATCACAAAACAGTGGAACAGATGAGTTTTGTAACTTTTTGTACAATAATAATAATATGTTATCTTTGAAGGTAGAGATTAAAATGTGTGTATATGAGCTAGTTATATATTTAATTTTTAAAAGAAGACTTCAAAATGTAATGTACAACTTGTCAATTACTTAATGTTCATGATTACCTAGAATGAAATCAAAAGAAAAATATTAACAATAGTTAACTCTGCATGGCAGAATTTTAGATATTTCTAGGTGATTATTTATACTTTTTGGTAATAATTTTAGAATAAATATGCATTGCTTTTATTTAAATAATAAGAAAAATTATTCTAATCAACTTCAAAATTGATTGCAAATGAGAAGGCAAAAATTATTGGGGGAGAGTAAAGTGCAAATTTTACTCTCAATCATAAAATTTTAAAATAATAATATGTTCATAGGTTCTTCTTTCCAGGAGTTATTGCCCTTATTTTGATTCAAGATAAGGCAACCTGTGGACTATTCAAGCTCTCTAGATAAGGAAGGTGAAAATTGGATTGGGTTTCATAGACTTCCTTAAGAAAGCAGTTCACCCTTAGCCATGAACATAAATGTAAAGATCATTGTTGTAACATGAGCTCTTAAAACTCCAGGTTATAACTGCAGCCATGAGAGGAGCAGAGCACTGTGTAAAGTGCACCTTCTACCTTACAACAAACCTGCTCATCAGTCATGTCTAATGGCAGCTGCTTAAACCTGGCCTTGGTCTTAGCCTCTGAGGTGTGTAAAAATTTCATGTGGGACTATATCATACAATCACATCTTTGAGCTGGATAGGATCTTAGTGATCCTAAAAAGTAAAATATAGAGCTGTTTTAGGCATCCCATTTAAAAATGCATGGAGAAATATTTGGTCTGATAACTTCTTTTATGGAAACAGCACTAAAATTTTACTACAAAGACAGCTCAGAAATGAGTTATTTGTGCCATTTAGTCATTAAATCGTAAATCCACAGACTGTTAGAGCTGAAAGGGGCCTTCTAGATTATCTCATCCAATACCAATATTTTTCAGATGAGAAAAGTAAGGAACAGAAAAGCTATTTTCCCAGGAAAAAGTGAAATCACTGAAAAATATCCTAAAGAATCCAGGAATTTCTGGAAGCTTACCTAGGAAGGGCCAGGTATTCCAAATCCTGTCAGAACTGTATACTTTTAATTTTAATTTGGTTGTGAATACTCCTGTGCAAGGAAAAAATATGCTAATATTAACTAATATTCATATAATATATGAAGAGCACATTCACAGTGAATACATATAAAGTAAAAATAAAAAATATAACAAAACCAATTATTTCAGACCAGATCACTCACGTATTACTCAGCTTCCTTTCTTCAGTGAACCAAATAATTGAAAGGAGCGTTCTTTGTTATTTTTTAGACACAATCATCCATTATCATGAGAAATTAGCTACTTCCACAGTTGCTGATAGCCCAGAGAATAATGGGACATTTATTCCTTGAGTTAAAAAAGAAACAATTTCAAAGTTCAATTGATTTTATGCATTAATGAAAAATACGCTTATAATAAAATTATATTTATTATAAACATATTCCTCATCCCCTCAAAATACATACTTGCTACTCATTACAGAGATTGTCCTGGAACAAGGAACTATTAAGGTTCTTTTTCTATGTTCAGTGTCTGTCAAAGAAATGGAAATAGTAACACTTGATTTTAAGGAAAATAGAGCAGTACATGCATGTCTTATCATCTATGAAAAAGAAATAAGAGCAGTTTTAAAGTTGTTTAAAGACAAGCCAAACAGAGAAAGACAAGTATCATATGATCTCACTTATTTGTAGAATATAATGAACATAACAGTCTGAGGAATGGGGTAGTCCCAGAGACGTGGAAGTGGGGTACAGACTGACAATCCCCTAAAGAGGGGGTAGTGGGGGAGAGATAAACCACAGAACTTATATGCATGTATGCATGAACAGTGGACATGGACAACAATGCTGGGGACAGGGTGGGGAGGGGGAGGGGGGAATCAGTGGGGGAAAAAGGAAAAACATTTGTAACAAAAATAAATAAATTAATTAAATAAATAAAAGTTCTTTAAAGATTAAATCAGCTAATAATAGGTGCAAAATGTTTAGTACAGTGCTTGGCACATAGTTAACATATAATAAGTGTCAGATGTTATTGTTAGTAGTAACTTTTTATTATTTATAACATGATAACTCCTGCATATACACCTTTCCCTTTAATCAAACCAAACTTGCAATTGCCCACACTGCTTCATGATCCCATGCCTGTGCACTTGATTTTCTCTCTTTCCAAATGTCCTTTCTTGGTGAGCTCCTACCCATCACTCAAAGTTCAGCTCTGAAGTGCCCTCCTCATACCTGACTTTCCTATGCCTGACTCATTTGCACTCACCCATTTCCCAGGATACCCTGTACATACGCTTTTAGCAATTGAGAACATGACTTTTTTTATTTGATTATCCTCACTTCCAACACACACACCCCTGAAAATGCATCACATTCAATGCATCACACACATTTTTTTTCTCTCTTGTAGAAATGTCTGAATTGAACCAACTCCTGTATAAATAAGTAAATGGGTTTTTTTCTTTATGAGTAAGTATTAGGGTAGAATGTGTGTACCTGGTGGCCTCAGTTTAGAAGGTGGTAAGGGTATGCAGGGTGTGGTGGGCAAAGCTAGGGGATACTGCTTGGGACCTGGCTCTGCCTCAAGCCTAACCCTGTGTCTTCAGTGAGTCATTTAACTTCTCTGGACTCAGTTTCCTGCTCAGCAAAATGAGCAGGTTAGGCAAAATATTCTTTGAGTACCCGCCCAGCATCAACATTTATATGATGCTAAACATTGGCTCATCTCAGTGATTCTCAAATTTTAGCAGGTCTTACAATCATCAGGAGGGCTTGTTAAACATTAATACTTGGTCAGCAGGTCTGAGAATGGGCCAGGAATTTACATCTTCAACAAGATCCTGGGTGCTGAGGTGGGGGTGGGGAGAACCACACTTTGAGAACCACTGATTCATCTTCTTAACACAGGATTGTGACAGTCTTCTTGTCACTTGTCAAAGCACTCCTGATATACAAATTCACAATAGGATGTAGGCAGGTAAACCCAGGCTTCTGTGGGACAGCCATAAGGATAATTGAGTGCATGTGGGTGAGTTCCAAGAGCAGCCACAGAAGGCAAACTTTGCTGACCTGCTGACCACAGTTTTGTTCAAGGCCCACCTTGTGGGGATGAGATAGCTGGAGTTCTCAGTGCTCCGCTGGAGCTGAAGTCACATGGATCACAATTGCCATCTAGTGACAGCTTTGCATTACTGCACATACAGACTACAGAATGAAATTGTACTTCTCATTTGGAAACTCTTTTACAAAGCTGTCTAAGTTCAGGATGAGAACTCTCGAGACAGCTCTAATATACTCTAGTCTTATGTACATTTGTATCTAAGTACTATAAAAATAAACAAGTATATATCATTTTCTATGTGTGAAGCACTGTTCTAATAATTTAGTTTTGTAAGGTTATTCACAGGAACCCAATGAGATAGATACATTATCCCCATTTTACAGACATGAAATATAACTACAGCTGTACAAAAAAACTAAGAAACACGCCTGAGGTTGCCCAGGCAGTAAACTGGTAGAACTGGGATTGAACTCAGACAGCTCCTGGAGAGACATTATTCTAGCCGACCTCTTTCATATCAGCAATCTAAAATAGTTACTAAAACAATTGGCACCTGAAAACAGTCATCAGTTCCCAGAATGGGTCTGGAAAATTTTATAAAACACAAACTGAAGCAATTAACTTTTTCTGATTCTTCCAAATGAAATCAGCCCATGTGCAGTAACTAAAGAGATGCTTCTACCTACATAAAGACCATAATAAAATAAAAAGAATGCCAACTTGGAATCAACTTCCAACTTGCTCTGCTACCTTGGACAAGTTGCTTAACCTTTCTGGGTTCTACTTTCTTCATCTATAAAGTAGAAAAAATAAAAATGTAGTTTACAGGTTTTGGAGTTCATTAAATTCAGATTAAAT